TGTGTTTCACAAAAGCTGCTTTGTTTGTGCAATATGCAACTCATGGCTAAACCACTTTAACTACTGCTTTGTTCCTGACCATGACAAGTTCTACTGCATTCAACACTATCAGGATATTGAGAATGCCAGTTTTGGATTAGGAGAAGATATCCGTCATGCAATGGGTATAGGACCAGGAGTACAACAGCAGTTTAAGTTTACACCAGGTGTGTTAAGTACATATTTTATAATGCCTCCCAGTGTTTCTGACAAATCACAATCAATTATCTGTTTGAAGATAATCTGCCATATCACAAGTAGATTGGTAGGAAATTAAATGAGAACAGCACTAAATACTTTCAACAATAATTTACTTTCCATGTGCATAAAGGTCAAACTAACAACTTCATTTAAATTGTTTGCCTGGGGTCAGATGCTATAGATGGTAGCAAGGACACCAAAGGAGTGGACAAGGTGCAGAATTCAATCAGAATCATGAAAGAAAAAATATCACTACTTAGCAAAAGAGGAAAGAAGCTGATAAAGAAAGAGAGGAAACTGAAGGCTAACCTTGGCGAGTTAAAAGGTGATGAACAAATATACATGTTCATTTTCACTTGAATTTTTGTTGAACTCAGTTATAAACTGAGAGGGAGAATAAGAGATAACTTGATCATGTCAATAGTTCATATCTTTGAGTCTTTGTGATACATGTAAAAAAGTATCTGTAGTAAATTGGTTAGTCTGCTTGATTGATCAAAATTCCATGTTTTTAAATTTGTATTCAATTTTTGAGACACTATATGGTTCACAGGAATATTGCATAGGGTTGTTTATTGCTCCTCAGTGGTTACATACTTGTACCTTTTCCTGGCATGGTCCTTCAAAAGTTGGATAACATATCCTGTGGTTAAGTAGCTTTGCAGTGAATAAGTGTAATTATGAGAGAGTGTAGTTAATAGCACTATCAATCCTTTTGAGAAACTGTGACCAGGGATGGTGTATTGGTTGGAGTGCCCATTAAAAGAAAAGAAGCATATATTCTATCTGATATAATTATATATTAATGAATAGCCTCCATTTAAAGGAGAGCACAAAAAACCCTTAAGGTACTTGTGATGCGATGAATTATAATTATTTTTTTGTTAAGGTTCCGATTCTGAGAAACAAACACTATGGGTTGAATGGTTTAGTGCTGTACAGGATAAAAACAGTACAGTCAGGAGGGAAGCAGAGCTCTCATTCAAGTGAGTATTGAAAAATACTTTTTTGCTTGGACTCACCCTGATTGCATTTATTGCTTTAAAATATCATATCTCATGCTTTTAACCCTGAAACTCTCAGAAGTGATTATGATGTAACTTCTCCCTAAAATATCCACACATTATCTAGCAAACATGTAATGAGAATACTCAAATTTATCAGGTACAAGTTATCTTGATTCAACACCATATTTTGGCAACTAATTTACAAGAAAATGTGTAGTAGTAAAAGGGGAGAATTAACAATCAGATCTTTGGAGTTGACGGGTGAAATAAATACTTATATAATATTTACCACAATTTTAAAGATTTGTGCCCTCTCATTATCTAGGGTCAGAGAGCTGGAGCTGGCAGAAAAGTACTCTCGATTGGAGAAAAAGCTGAGAGAATTAACAGAAAAAGATGGTATGAGGTTGTTGAAATTTGTGACAAGATGCTGTTATTGTAATTTTTATTTTCATGATTAATGTTATGGTCTGTTATTGATAAATGTAATTGTTGTTGATGTCCTTTACAACAAAAGCAAAGATTGTTATTTCTGATATCTTAACTGTTATTTTTGTAAATGATTAATTTAGAAAATATAAAGACAGAGTATGACAAGTCTAAAGAAAATGAATTACTACAAGAGATGCTTGAGGTGGTTGAGAAAAGAGAACAACTGATATCTGAAGTAGAGAATGCCAAGAAGAGGTAAAGTGCTAGAGTGCTAACAACATTAAAATCAATGTCAGTAATAATATTGTCTTGTAAATTTTGTTATAAGTATGTTTTAAAGGTAGAAGGCACCATGTTAAGTTGTATTTTTCCAGGAAATATAGCTTGATCAACAACAGTTAACCCTTTAACACCCATTAGTGACCAAAACAGAATTTCTCTTTACAACGTCAATACAATATCAAGCAGACAGGTGATGAGAACAAAGAAAAACAATCAATGAGATCGTTAGTTGATCCAATACCAAATTCTCTTGAACAACATTACATGAATTTTATGGCAGACAGTAAGGAGAATTAATAATGAGATCTTGGGAGTGAAAGGGTTAAGTAAAATTTATTTGATATCTTGGCAGGTACGCTGAAGAAGACAATGAAATAGAGAAAGAAAGAAGAGATGCAGGTCAGTATGGTTATGAAGTGTATTCTTTTTTGAAGATAACATTTAGACTAAAGTTTATCAAAGTTTAAGGCAAATACATTAATAAGGTACATGTACAGTAACTCTTTGTCCACTTCTTGTTGGTCAAATCCATATTTGTGGGATTGCTTTTTTTTTTTGGGAGTGAAAAGATCAGATGACCTGGAGAAAAACCTTTCAAGCAAGGACAAGAAGCAACAACAATTCAGTCGTTATGTGATGCTAGGATTAGGAATGGAACCCAAGCCACAGTGGTGAAGGGAATTGTTCTCACCACTATGCCATCCCTATCTGGTTAATTTGAGAGAGATTTAGGAATGAGGATGATTTTCACCATGAGGAAAATGATCCACAAAATTGTCCTTTAACACCTTAACGCTCGAGATGTGATTGTTAATTCTCCCCCCTTAGCTGTTACACATTTCCTTGAAGATAAGTTATGAGAATTAAGCATTAGATCAAGATAACAACTTCTACCTGATATGTTTAAGTATTCTCACTACTTGTTTGCTGGATAAAATATGGGTATTACAGGGAGAAGTTGCATGTTAATCACTACTGAGAGTTAAAGGGTGGATAGGTGTAGAAATGCAATAGTTAATTAATTACAGTAGGCCTGTTTAGTTAGAATTTTAAACTCATCTTTTCATATTCAGGACTGAATGATCCTGATGTTGTAAGGGAGGTGACTGCTGTTGGAAAGGATGCCCAGAAAGTATCAGAAGCTGTCAAAAAAGCACCAAGTGCTGTCAAAAAACAATCAGAGTTTATGTGCCCTGGATCTTGCACTCTGCTTTGATACTGAAGTGGAGTAAAAAAATTAGAACTTTAAACTTTTGTCAATTAGTACTATGTTAAAAGAGTTAAAAACTTCTGTGATAGTTTTAAATTACAAAGTAAATGTAATTCCTGGAAGTTTTATGTGAAAGTATTATCTTGCATAGCATTATGAAGTCATGGTCAAATTATTAAAAATTGCTGTCATACAAAGAAAAAATTAGCTCTCAGCAATTAGTACCTGTAACTTATTAGTGGCAACAACACATCTCTGTCAGGCAGTCAAGTCCAAAGGATCTCTCTAACCATGTAAAATCAAGGTATAAATAATCATGTAATCTATTGATATGAACACTAGCCTCTCTTGGTTACCAGTTACCCCTCAAAGAATTGCATTTTCTTTCCATTCTTACTGAAGGCTTTCTTTACTCAGTATGGTATTACTTATGACTGTCAAATGAAACTTCTGTTGTTGGTTATATGTGCATTAGGCATCATGATACAAAGTCTTTCATCATGTGGTGTTGCCTGGTTAAGCCAGAGCAAATCATGTTGTGGTTGTAGCTCAAGGTGATTCACATGATGGCTGTAAGCAAAGAATCCTCAGGCACTAACCCCAAAGACACTCTCCAGAATTTTGTAATTAATAGTTTGTTACTTGATGACAAACAAAATAACAGACAAATAACCAATAAAGTATAGGACTGTTGTAGTGCGTCTGTATGTTATTTTGGTTAAGTAAGTAGTACAGATGCACCATGGCTGTTGCCATGGTATGAGTGAAAATAAATAATGGAAGTGTTGTGATCTTTATGTATTAACTGAAAACTTAATTTTTATGGTTTGTTTATCTGAGGAATTAAAAAACAGCTGGCTTGACTTTATGTGTCGATGTGGAAAGGGTACTGTGGTACTGAAAGAAAGAAATTCAGATACTCTTTTCCAATCTTGAGCTTACAGGAGATGACAGATAATACATATCTTTTCAACATTTTAATTTCTGGCTGATGCTTGAATGCCATTTCAAATACAAAATTAAATATTTATCCTTTTATAATTACAAACTGTACTGATGATGTACAAAATCGTTAATTCTAAATCTTCTATTTACAAACTCTCAATGGAGGTGTGATCTCTCTCAGCCAAATAAAGGCAAAAAGATGGATGTGCGATTACAACTAATTTTTCTTTACAAAACATGGGAACAGGGATTGTTGTTTAGTAGCTAAACTCCAAGATTTGTCTCTTTTTGAGCAATAATTACCTATAAGGCCATTACTGATGTTTTCTTTATGCTGCACATAAGAGTTTTTTTAATGACAATCAAAATTACTTTGATGATGGACACATAGTTATGAGAAGTTTTCACTGTTCATAAATTTGTAAAAATCGTGTGGAGATAAAATTTATGTCCACATGTCATCTTGACATTCAATGATGATTTTGATCAAAAAATGAAGACTTCTAAGTTACAAATCATCATCAACATTGTGACCTTACAATTGTTGTGGCCAGTCAGAAGCTTTTATTAAAAGGGGGTTTTTCTCTAACCATTATTCAAGATGGTTACCAAAGTGATGGTACTAAACTGAGTTCAAGTCAAAAAAATTTAAATACTATATATATATATACATATAGATGAAAAAAAACTTCTTCTAGTGACTTAGATGCCTTTTAGAGACTGGCAGATTCCTCTAGGCAGTGGAAGATAATCTATTTGGTCTTTACCAACAAGCTTTGTTATGGTCATTCTGCACTGATCCTGCAGTGAGACATATCTACATGTACTGTCACACAGTTCTATCTCGGAGAGTGTTGATGTAGATGAAATAATTGGGTAGAGCTCTGATGCTTTGTTACACAAGCCTGTGAAAGCAAGTCCTAAAGACCTTCCATTTTTGAAGTAAGAAAGAGTTCCTGCATCCATATCAAGAAGAACACCGATCACAGTTGAGTCATAAAATGGCTCACAGTAACTTCTATACTGACCATTGTGCCAAACCTTGCCTTTATATGATAACCCCCAACTCTGATCATCCCTTCCAATCAAATCTACAAACTCAAAGTCTGCTGTTTGAAGCAAGGCCTCTTTTGTGCCAACACCAATCATCATTGATGTGCCAAACACAGAACTCAGCTTTACCTCCCAATAATGCTGCCCATGTGAGAAGGCCTTGGTGCCGCGGACACCTGCTGTTCCCGTGCTCTCAATGACTGGGTCAATGTAGAAACAAGCCACCTTATTGTTTAGGCAGAGGTATACAGAAGGGGATTTATCCTCACTACTCCACACCCACTGCTCATGGAAGGTATCTGACCAAGGATGGAAGGATTCTGAATCTTCAATTGGTTGACTAGATAATTTTCCTGTAAAAAGAACAAAAGTTTTGAAAAATTTATGACTTGCATAAATAGTATTTATGACTGGGACTACCCACAAGTTATGCACAATTCAGTTAGTCGCACATTTCATTATGAGATAAGAACTAACTGAGGCTAAAATCACCCTGGGGAACCTCAGAAACTTGTGACAAATGTTCACTGTCTTCTTGTAAATGACTAGGTAATCCTTGTGAGGATCCACCCCCATTTAACAGTGGAATACGTTGTCACTTTTTCTTGGGATTGCACAATGATTTGGATTGTCCTGCATTGATTTCGTGGGAATGTTTATAACCTCTACCAACAAAGAGCCTTGAAAAAACTATGGTCGAAATGTACTCGTACATCAATTGTGTGTGAAAATAAAGGGTCAAAAAATCGAAAAACAAGCAATTTGAGACATGATTGAGTTGATCATCAGTGTGCTTCATCTTCTCTTTTAAAGAACAAATCCCAGCTGATGGTTTTTAATGATTCAACATATTACCGCTTTGGGATGTTATCACTGATTTTGTTCGCACAGGCAGCAAATAACAAAAATATTGGGTTTAGTGGTGAAAGAAAAAAATCAAACCTTTCAACCTGATTGCGATTTAAAATTGTGCAGAGCGTAAAAGATAAATAGAGCAATTTTTGCAAACGCTTACTTCAGCATACAAGAAATCTTACAATGCTTCGGTAAGCATTATTTACAAACAAATTGTGAGGAGTTTAAATTTAAAATATTACTAATGTCTTGTGTTTCTTTTTTTGTCACACCGATCACAAATTACTCTCGTTTTCAGAGAAAGCTACCAATTTCGACGCCAACGTTAACCACTGAATGTATATGGCTATTGTATGTATATAGAAGTTTTCAATTGGAAAGAAATGTCGAAGTACCTTTCAGTTTCGGAAGGTTACCGACCAAATCTACTACGATTGCTGTTTCGCAGATGTAAACACAACACAAAAATGCGTATAAAGTTAGTTCAATTCTGAGAATTATCTAGAAAAATTCTGCCTCTGGCACTTTTTCACTTATTAGTAATAAGTACTGATAGAGTTAAATCCCTTACCCATTTTGTGGTAATTCCACGAAAACTTTCACAAGATCTCGTAGTAATTTGCAAACTCAGGTGTTGTTTTCAACGTACGTGACTGCTCAGTGGTAATCCAACAAGTTTCGGGACCGTTCCTGAGACTGACGAGTATTAGGGCAAACTTTCTAAGAAAGTTTTTCTGCTGATTTTTCCCTACAGAGGTACAATTAAATTTTCAAGACACGCTTAGACGGTCAATACAGAGTCAACTTACAACTTGTACGCGATGTGCCGCGGGTCTTCCTTCTGTACATAAACAACTTTCAAACCCAGTGAACAACCTGAAATGTTCTCGTGACCTCCAGTGAACGCTTGTGATTGGCTATGTCAAACCCGGCAAAACCGGAATGGCTTGATTCTGAGTAACAAGGAGAAAAAATAAACAAAACGGACGTGTCAATTCGTTTGGCTGGGATGGACAGGAGTTGAAATCTCTTTTTCGTAAAATCGTGAGCCCTTAATAGATTTATTTACAGCTTTAGATTTTTCTGCAGATTAATACCATTGAACTATCTCAAAAGATATGTGATAAAGTTTATGTCCCAGTTGCTTTCTGCGGTCAGCCTCGCAGCCAGGAGCAGCTCTCTTATTCTATGTATTTTGGGATGTCACGCAAAGTTCGAAAAAAAAACCCGAAAGCACCTGTGAAAGGATCTTGTTCTTCTGCATTCATTGCTCTTACAAAACTCTCCAACTCTTTTGACACTTTTCTGCAATGGATCATTAAAAAATTTGCGGAAAACGAGTTTCTCGCCTTGTATAGCTAGTGACGTCATAGCGGTTCCTTGATATTAGAAAGCGTGCAGAACAGAACGAATGCAGAAAGAAACATAATCCCATCTCAAACCAACAACAACAAAAAATAAATGATTTCCGATGGGGAAAAAAAATCAGATGTTTCGTGATTAGAAACCTATCCGTTTCGGAAATACGTTTGTTTCCCTCACAAGGGGAAGCTTCGGAACTAACTTTTCGCGAGTGAAAATCACCGGCAGATTAGATTAGCACTAAGTTACTCCAGTGAGAAGAGCATGTCTAGTGAGCAGTCCTCTCATAGCTATCTTGTTGTGTTCCACCAGATTCCCGTTGTCTTGAAATACCTCCGGAATATCATCGTGCGACTCTTATCGTGTGAGCTTGCATCACCTAGTGACGTAACAGAAGTAAACAAATACACTCCTTTTTTCGCGTCCATCGTCCCTTATCTCCGTGAATTTGGACAATAAATTTTGGTTGCATTCGATCTAAAAATTTATCAAAATCGATTCTTCAAAAATTAGTTGTAAGGATATGCAACGTAAAAAACGTAAACACTTCAGTATTTGAAAACAAGTAATAATTTCGTGATTTTAGATTAGAAGAGAGACGTGCTTACGTGAGCCCGCGAAGAAGATTTTCGCACAGCAGGTTACGCCTTAAAGAAATATTGTTTATCAACGACAACAAACAGAATTCGATGAACCTCACCTGAAGAGGTTATTGGTGAATAATTACGCGAAGAGAAGTCGTTAGAGTGAGAGTATTTATACCCTAGTTAATTGAGAGTTTTTTTGTGAATTATGGCATTGGTTCACACAAGTTTTTACGCCAATCCTTTGGAGACTTCCAGGCTTTCACAGCGCGAACTTCTCGCGCGCATTTTCGGCCGTCAGGAAGCCAGCGAACATGTCCGCGGTATGGATTTCGAAGAAAACTCCAGCGATTCTGGCTCTGATCATGAAATGGAGGAATTTAATGAAGGTAAAGTCTTTCTATGTATTCTTTCTTAAGCATACCGTACTCCACATGGGAAAAAAGAGGGCGTTTTGTGTCTAAAAGCTGTGGAAGGTTTTTGTACTGAGTATGTAAACAACGAATTTGTTCGCCATTTGAGGAATAGCTGACGAGCGCTTTTTCATCATAGTATATTTTTCTTTCATAGCAGAAGCAATTTTGAAAGTTTTATTTTCACAAGCATGTACTTTCGTGTTTTCAAAACGTGTTTTTTGTTTCTTTTCATGCTTGAAGGGAATAACAAGAAGTGAACTTTGTACGCCTTGATGCAAAATGTAAATTTCTCTCAGCTACACACCAAAACAGCTGTCGCCATCGCAGTTGAATAAATTGATTTATGGTGTGAAAACTTATCTCTGAAGTTGTCTTGTATGTTCATATACGGATGATTATGCTCAAAAAGCGAAATGATTCCTTTCGTTCGTTAAAGATCGATTGCCTCGTGAAATAAGGTCAGATCTGTACTAGTTGTACAGAGCAGAGCTTGTTGGTCTTGAACATTGTTGACATTTTTCTTCGCGTCTCCCAAAACAAGTACGCTTTTTGAATTATTTGAAAGATGTCTAAACTAGTTTTTCTGTTTTTCGGCATCAGCATGACAGTCACACACGGTCTTTTCTTTGCATGCTGTAATTCACGTGAAGCACTGAATTCTTTGACGTTAGTTTCATTTTCCAGTTGTAAAAGACAAAAGTGAGGTGCCAGAATTTCATTTTCTACTGTGGCAGCACTTTCACTGGCCTCTGATCAAGAGCGCTCTTATAATTATTTTAATTATTTAAAAAAGAGTCAAACTTAAATCCTTTTCTACACCCCTCTGACTTAACATCACTTCGCACAGTGATTGCGATTTTCCATGGCTTGTTTCTTTAAGGCTTAATGTAACTTCATTTCCGAGAGAAATTTTGGAACATTTACACCTTTGTGTAAGAAGTGAGCTGTTTTATTTAAACGGTCTTTGGGAATTAATTTAGTAATATCCTTACTGTGTTCCATAAAATTATTATGATGTTAGTTTGGAGAATTTGTTTTTTATCTCATCACTTGCGTGAAAAATCCATCTACAAAAAAAGAGGCTAGAGTTCAAACTCTGTAGAAAATATGTTTTAAACTTGTTAAATAAACCACAACATTTATCTAAAATAAGAACTCTGAAACTTCTTAAATTTCCAAGCAAAGGGGTAACAAATTTATGCAAACGAAAACTGAAAAACTACTGACTAAAACTCCACAAAAATAAACTAAAATTATATGAAAAATGTCTACGTTAGTTTTCCAATGTCGAGGTTAGAGTTCTTTGACATGATTGGCTAATTTGTGAAATGTTGCGCATTGTGCATGAATACAAAAAGAATACAGAAGGGGAGAGGAAGGGAAAAATTGTAACTTGAAATTTGAAAATGAAAGAGATTTTCTACAACTTGCATGTCTTGTATTATATCATTACCGTAAAGAGAAATTATGACTCGGTCATCCATGGGAGTTTATGGGTTAATTAAAGATCCCACAACTTTTGCCATGTCTTTAACTGTTTATGCAAACAACCAACTTAAATTTTTGACAGCATAAAACTTGTCTAGAAGACTGTTAACCCTTTAGCTTCCAGATCAAATTTGTAACTCTCCTTACTGTCAATCATACAGCTCTTATAATTTTAGTTCAGAGAATTTAGTATTGGATCAACTAATTATCTCCAGATTGATATTTTTCTTTATTCATATCACTTATCTGGTTAATATTGTATTGATATTGTAAGGAGAAATTCTGTCTTGGTCACTCATGGGAGTTAAAGGGTTAAAGGAAAGGTGAGATTTCTCTTATAGTACAAAACCAGCTCACAGCTTAAGGGTAACCATTAAAATATTAGTATGGTTTTACGATAACCACCCTCCCTTCCTTCTGTAAAAAGTTTTATTGAGTTTACCGCATGATTTCCCCCCGATAAGTTTGGTCCTGGAGGTAATCTCCAATCATGGGGATGATTATTTTGCCATTTGGGAACAGTGTGATTCATATTCCTGTGTCTACATGATGAATTAACAACAGAAAAACTTTCAGTCTAGTCGATATTTATTACATTTCAGCTGCAGGATGAGAGCTGGTACAGCTAAAAGCACTTGTTGGTCGTTCCACTAATGGTTGCCTTCCTTCACCATGTCAAGACGCAATGTCTTGATGAAAAAGGAAGTGTTTTTGAGGTCTTAAGGTAAAGTGAAATTCCCATACTGACTTCAGTGTAATGTCAGTGTTGTGATTGTGAATGTTGGTGGCTGTGTTGTGAATGTTGGTGGCATGGTTGTGGTTTTTGTTGTGGTTTTTGTTATCACTGTCTCTGTGAGTGATGTTTCCAAAAGCATGATTTTGTTTTTGCAATGCTTGTTAAGTTTTAATTAGAACTTTATTGTTCATGTGGAAAAAGCTGTTTATTGGTTTTTTAAGGTTATGAGTTGTCAGTGATTTATTCAAATATTTGGCTACAAGATATTGCTGTGAAGTACTACTGAAAATCATAAAAGGGAGTCAAGAACATTAAAACAATCATGCTATATGATGTTCAGATAACATCATTATCAAGTACAGATGTTAGAATGTTTAATTACTTGAGAAAACTTAACTTAGTTGAAAAAAAATGAAAGTTTTAAAAATGGTCTTTTGAAGTTTTATATGGATGGTAGTTAAATCTGTGTGTTTACACGTAATACTTTCATTCATTTTGATTAATTGTTATTTTTACTCAGTATTTTTGCACTAGAGTCAGTTCTTTGTTCTTACTTGATGACATCAAGTCTGCTGAATGTTAAACAATGTTTTTTTTTAATGCTATGTAACTCTCTTGATATGACATTGTGTAATCATGGTTCATTGCAAACTGTCTTTAATTTGGTTGCAATGTATTGCAAAGAGTACCTCAGTGATTGCTGTACTGTGTTGTGTCAATTTCATGGTTTTCAGTTGTATTGTGGTAAATGTGAGTATTGCAGCCTGTCTGAAGATGCAAGAAAATAATCGTATGATAATATAATTGTAAAATGTGGTTGACTTCCTTCCCCAGTTGAGACTTCATATTAGTCTTGATAAAAAAGGAAGATAGAGCTTACACTTAATATAGATTTAATGTGACTTTAATATCATAGTTGTGTTATCATGTCCTATTTAAAACTTTTTTTCCATTTGTTGTTGGTTTTGTGATGTGTATCTTAAGGACATAAGATTTTTGACCAGTGGAAGTGATAGAGATGTTATCATTGACTAAGATATATGAAGTATTTAAAAATCCAGATACATCCATTGATGATATTCCAAGCAATGACCCCAATATTGGATTTAACTATTATTATAATGATATATCTCAGTCTCTAACATAAAACATAACATATAACTTGCATTTAATTCATACTTAAATGGTTGTTTTCTTAAAGTGTAACAAGATTGCAATCTTAGTCAAATATTTTTTATCTTTAATGTCTTTTTGCACATTGCTTATCAGATTTTGAGTGGGAATGGGATCCAACGACACTATCATCTTCAGTGTCCCTCACTCGAGGTAATAAGGAGGTGCTGTTCCACCCTGATTACAGCTGTGGAACTGCAGCAGCAAAAGGCTCCCAGCCCCTTTGTCAGGGGGGGGAATACTACTGGGAAATCAAGATGACGAGTGCAGTCTATGGTACTGACATGGTAGGTCATGTTCTCCTCTGTTGTGGACTGACATAATGGAGACAGAGCTACAAACATGACAACGTGTTAATGGGGAGGTTGAAGACTTGACGCACTCTACTGGTGCAAAATATCTTTGCACCATTTTCATACCAGTTCTTCTAAACAAGGAAACAACAAATTGACTGGACAAGACTGTGCAGAAACTTACAAACTGCATGTTTAAAAAAACATAGAATGTTTGGTTAGAGTTCCACTTCAGATACCATCAAATGGATAAACTTAAAAATGTTGTGTCACCGTTGAATTGCACAGTGCAACCACTGAACAGAGTGACTTACTAACACAACAGACCAAGTCAGTGCGTACATACATGACATACAATACAATGACTTACATGGATTGAAACAAATACAGCTATTAAACAGTGGAATGACTGCAAATACAGACCAACAATACAAGATCACTAATGACTGATGATTTTTTTGTATCCTTTTGACCATAGTGTATTTTAAAGGTTGCAAAATGGTATTTTCTCTTATTGCAATATGTTATTTATGCAATCCATGCATTTTGACATGCATTTTCTGTTTGGAAGTCATGGTATTATGTACCACTAGTGGTGAATTGAATGAAAAATGAGAGTATTAATGACAAGAAAATTTGGTAACTTAAAAAAATTTAAATTTCAAATAATGAAAGCAAATCATCCCATTGATGATCACATTTTTTTGGTCAGATCATCATATTGCTTGAAATCTGAGCATCACCTATGTTCACCAAAAACTACTTTTCTGAAGGCTGTAGATTGTTGCCACAGTTTATGTGGCTCTGAAGGACCTGCTAGATGTAAATTGAACAAGCAAAATGGAAATTTGCTTTGACTAGACCTTTTACTTGAAAAATACCTTGAAAAAAATTTTTATTTTAACATAGTTTCAAAGAGCATTGGGTTTTAAAAGATTGATTTTTGAAATTGATTATTTAAGGGGGTTGCATTTGTAAGTATTTTTGCTCTGTGTGAAAGAGTTAAATCTCCAAACTTTGGCAGGAAGAAAAGGATAGGATTTTTTTGTACGTCTAAGTAACAACATGATGCTAAATGACAATGCAGTGATCATTGTCCTTCTTCATTCTTTTGTGTTACTGATTGCTGAAGAGTAAGTACGCTAGATGTGGCACTTATTGTAAGACTCATCAAGTTATGTGTATTTTCAACTCTCAGATGCTAGGAGTGTGCAACAGTGACCTGGATATTACTCAATACAAAACTTCATTCTGCAGTCTTATTGGCAAGGACAGCAATAGCTGGGGGCTTTCTTACACTGGTAATTTTTATCATCAAGGGAAAGCCCAGAAATTCTCCTCAAGATTTGATCATGGCTCAGTTATTGGAGTTCATTTGGATACATGGCATGGGAAGCTTTCTTTCTTTAAAGACAATGAGCCACTGGGTGTGGCAGCTAATGGACTTAATGGGAAACCACTTTATCCTGTGGTGTCTTCAACTGCAGCAAGAACAAAAATGAGGTTGCAACGTAGTTCATCGTCATCCTTTTCTCTGCAGTATCTTTGTTGTGCAGCGATTGGCAAACATCTACCAAATCTTGAAGCTCTTAAGGCTTTACCCATACCACCTGGGGTGAAACGACATCTTTGTAATGAACTTGATTGGATCTTCAAGGTCCACCTTCCCTCACAAGTGAAGAAAACCAGTGACACTGATTTGTGATGTCTGTGTTTTGGAAACATTTTAATTTGTATCAAGGATGAAATTTCATCATAAAATGGAAATGGTGTCTTTACTTCAAACTTTAGTCATGCTGGGAAAAATGAAGTAGAACTGCAGAGCCATTGAAGGAAGTAATTTACTAAATATATTTTCGTATGATCAGAATATTGTCAATACTGAATGTGTATGTGTTGTGGTGCATCAGGATTTTCTAAAGAAGTTTAGTTAATTAGCGTGAATCTCACTCAAAAAAGCCACTGTATAGGATCTTTGTGTTATTACTGATAGTATTCTTTAGTCTACTTAGCTGGAAGCTACCTATCTTGTCAGGATGATTTGAAATACATATCCCAGGAAACTTCAAATGCACTATCACTACTAGAGATAAGGTTTAAATTTATGGCTGAGTGATTTCCAAAACTAAATATGTCTTGGGTGGTTACCTTGATCTCCAAAGTGTACATTGAATTTTTCACGTTTAAGTTATGTACGAAAAGTTTGAACAACAAGAAAATAGGGGCGTGGACAAAGTTTTATATTTGTAGAGTTGTATTTATTATACTCTTTTTTTTGTACCTATGCTTGGAAATATGTCACAGAGTATTGTAATTTATTTTAAAATAGACGAAAGATAGGAGAGATAATTAATGACAAGATGAAATTAATTGAAAGCTTGATGATTTTGTTTCAAATAGAGTTAAACAATGTGTATCTGGTTTGCATCCTTTGAGGAAAAAACTTCTTTTTTTTCTTGTTGATCTGTCTTTTTTTGGTGACCTTTTTTTTTTACTGTGCACCAAAAAAAACATAAAATACTTTGTTGAGTTTTTTAAATATATGAAGCCTTACCTTATGAACAATAAATCTAGAAAACAACAACAGATCTGGCTTGCCATATGTATAACTTGTTGTGACTAGAGAGAGATTAAAAAAGTAGATAAAACTGAAATACATGTATATAGCTGCTCTTTGTCTGAGTTTAGACTACCACAATGGGCTCTCCTGCCTTTTACCAGACATTTTTTCAAAAATTGGCGATTTCTTGGGTTTTTCACTTCTTACCATGACATAGTAATAACCAAGGCTTTATTGTGAATGTGACAAACCAAACATTTTGTTAAGTTTCGTGATTAACATTTTCCTCACAACGCTTCATTTGAGGATAAATTACACACTAATCATTTTAAATTAAATTGGGACTTTGACTTCAGCTGTGCCTGTCAAGACCCATAACACAGCGAGAATCACTGTATGTGTTCCACACTGATCTGAAATTCAACTTGTACGTGTTGACAGGGACACCCAAAGGTGAGGGGGACCTCGTCCTTTGGCGTTAACTCTGTGAAGGCCTGGGTTCTAGTCGGCTACGTCTAAGAATGTAAACAAGATGGCGTAGGTTGCTAGTCGGAAGTTCTTCAAATAGACTGCAAATTCGCTCATCTGCAGTGGTTAGAGAAACATTTTAACTTTGAAAAGCGTGATACTTAAAGAGGAGAGCAAAATGTCCACCCTTCCAATGCAAGACAGGAGTAATTCAGAGAAGAACATGAACGGTGAGACAGCGACTGTGGGGGGATGTGAGCTGTAGCTTTAGGGCCGGGCTGAGTCTATTTAAAGCAGTTGTGTCGTTAGCTTTCATCTTCTTTCGGCACTGCATATTCGACTTAGCTTTCCAAGTTAACTATCTTGAGTCGGTGGACGATAAAGTGTCGGAAGAAAATTTGAGTGAACATAGTTCCTTATATCAAGATGTCGATCAATGTAACGCTTTTTCATGCCATGTACCATTAAGCGAACAGTACTTCAGTCCGAAATCAATTGAGTATCAGTAAAATTTGATGTAGTTTGTAGTCTATAAGTACTGGGGCAACGTTTAAGTCCGTCTACCTCATGCCTTCATTACTCTGGGCGGTGCGTACTTTCTTCTCGGTTCTTTCATTTTTTTTTTCGTTTTCTTCGATGTTCTAAATCTTTAATGAACAGATTCTTCTTTTCAAAATTTTTGCTTCTTGTGAATAAATATTTGCATTTACTTAAGGTACTTAATTTATTTTTTTTCGTGAGACATGTTTATGTAGACGTGAACCTGATAATGCTACTGGTTAATTGTTATTTTTAAAGAACCGTAAATTATGATCTCTCGTTTCATGTCTGTATTGGATACCGCATATTTTATTTGTGTTAACGTTGAATAGCTTGGGGTAGAAACTGTGATTTGGTTACTTCAAGAGTTTTGCAAAAGAGCATCTGTAGCTATTGGTAAAACTAGCTGATTGATGCTTCTTAAACGCAGCAGGAAGCTGTGATGTTAAGGGTTTGGAATGTGAATGATTTTACTGTAACTTCAAATTCATTTTCTTGCAGGAAGTGTGGGAGGGGTGATCAATTAAAAAGAGACCAAAAATGAAAAAAAGGACTTTTGGAAATGGATTGAAGTTGCTTTGAGCATTTCATTAACCTTTTTTTACCTTCTGTCTACTCTGTATTTTTTTTTGTGTTTTATTGGCTTTGATGTGGATATTAATATTATTAATACATATCATTTTTTTATTGTTGTTACTGAGTTGAGGGACAGATAGAGAAAAAGGCATTATGAGCCAGTTCTGTTCCATATCAATTAAAAAATTTATGTTTACAATAAAAAAGCTGTCTGCTTAATTTCTCTATTTATATGAAGAAATTTTGTATTAGGTTAGAGTAACAAAGTGAGGTTAGTGCTTCTGTATGAAGCTTAATAAAAGTTCATTTTGATTCTTAAGCAGTGGTAAATATATTGAGTAACCTTACATTTAATTGGTACATAATAAAAAAATACAGTACCTGGTGCCTGAAATGTTGTATGTTTTATTGTACCATTAGGTTTTTTTTTTATTTTGAAATTATTTTTCATGGCTTTCCTGTATTAATGTAGATGCTTGTTTCATTTGATTTTAGGTTTAACACCCAAGGAGATAGCTCTCCTCTCTGGCATAAGAAAAAGAAAATCAGAGTTGTTGATTGAAATTCAGGTACAATACAGATGAGATGCCTTTTTACATTATGCTGAGTACCTGATATTAATTTTATTAAGTACAAACTTTACTTGTGTGACAGTCAAGATTAAAGTGTCCTTCAACAGGTATAAAAATACCAGAGTGGAAAACAATTAAGACTGAGGATGCTGAAGGATAAAAAAAAAATCTAGATAGTTTAAACTCGTGAATAATGAAAAATAACTTTTTAGGGTGAAAAAAAATGAGTTGTATCCATTTCCTCTTTTGCCATTTATCTCTTGTTTCTTTCACCATAAAAAAATTTTTTTTGTAGATCAAATGACTTCTTATTTATTTTTGGAGCCAGATTTAATTTAAATGTCCATTTAATTTAGTCTTCTGTTTATGATACAAATATTTTTACACTGTCAATTTCAAAGCTGAGCTTTGACCTAGTCAGTGCTATATTAAATAAAATGTCTTAAATTACATAATTACATGTCACGTCATTTAAAGATTTTTAGCACAGATATTTGCAGAAAAAGTCTCTCCTCACACAATTATTTTGCTAAAATTTTTACTGGTCTGAGGTTTTTGTGTATTTGAAATACTGTTTACCCACAAATGAAGGTGTACTCATCAAACCATCAGTTCACAAGTTAGTTGACATTACAGTATTTATACTGCAAAATATTCTTATTGCTCAATTTGCTATTTTTTGCCTTGAACTTGGTTGTAGTAATTGAGATTTTACAACTGTTTAGCTTTGATAGGATTGCATAAGTAGTGTACATGTATAACTGATCTAACAATATTTTGATCAAATTATCTTTATTAGAGAGTTGAGAAGATTCTTGTACCTTGAGTTAGACATTGACCTTGATTTTACTTTGTAACTTACAAGATGTTAATGTCAAGAATATTCTTGTTTTTAAAGTTTCTTTTTCTGATTTTAGCGACTGAAAGATGAAATAGCAGAAGTTTCATCAGAAATGGAAACTATTGAACAACGCGACAATAGGTAATTGAAAATAAAATATTTCAATGTGTTTTGAGCAGATGGTTTCTGTAAAGGTTGTACAGCAATAAATGACTTAAATATATACATGTTAACATTGTACAGCTGTACAGCTTGTGAGATGAACAATTTGATGTCACTTACTATAATTTAACATAGATATCATAGGTTTATAGACACAAGTTGGGATTACGATACATCTCAATTATAATGCTAATAAAGTGAAAGCTTTCTGCATAGAGAAGCCACCTTCTTCAAGCAGCTATTTCAACTACTGGCTTTGACCTATGTAGGTTAACACAACTTTTGTTAGCAATTCTTATATTTTCTGCTCTGGGAGCTTATCACCAAATCAAACAATATTTTGCAGTTGGGATATTCTTCTTCTTATTGCTTTATTCCTTGAGAATGTCTTAACATTGTAAGCAGAATTAATTTTTGGTCTCTTATGGAAGTGATGAGGTGAAGGAGGTGAACCAACTGCAACAAAGGTATCATCCCCTTTGATAAAAAGGCTTTGTTTCATCCTTGTGTAATCTTGTGCAGGCTGACAAACTTTATAGCAATCATTCAATTATAATTTAGACTCTGCAGGACATGATCTTCTCATTTTATTATTAATTTCTGTTATGAACAGTACTAAGGATGATCCTCGAGCCAAACAATTATTAACTGGAAAGAAAAAGTTTAACATTGATCCAGAGAAGGTATGTACTATGGCAAGCACTCCATGTTATTTTTGCTGGCAAGACAAGAACTGTTCACTCTAGTTGCATCATTTTAGCACCATTGTGACCTTTTTTTGATCAGCTGTCGATAAAAATGACATTAACTGAGAAGATAATGGGAACTTTATTTCCAACTCTTCCTATTGCTTTTCTATGGAGAGAGGAATCAAACTGTTTTTTCTTTTATACAAATGCTTGCAGGGAATAGAATATCTGGTAGCCAATACTCTGCTCAATAACACACCCGAAGACATTGCTCACTTCCTTTTCAATGAAGAAGGACTTAATAAAACAATGATTGGAAACTATCTTGGAGAAAAGTAAGTTATTTACTCAGACACATAGTTAGAGTTTGCCTAAGAGATTATTCAAATGTAAAGACAGAGTTGATGCCAAAGGCATTTGGCCCCGTGCTTCTAGAACAGCAAAGTCTTGCATAACAGTAATTATGAAAGATACTGTTTAATAGCATCCATGCCACTTGGTAGTATACAACCAGAATTTGGGATGCATGGATGTAAGCCATGTTTAATTTTTCCTTAAAGGTTATTTAATTCTTTTATTAACCCTTTAACCCCTAACAGTGACCAGCTTCTAATTTCTCCTTACACTATCACTCCTGAATCAAACAATAAGGTCACAAGAATTAAGGAAGTGATCACCAACCTGTAAAGCTCTTGATTTTTAGACAAATTCTCTTTGTCAGCACTTCAGAAAATGTATAGAGGCAGTATGGAGAATATGCATACTGATGTTAGGGTGTAAAGGGTTAATTTCTCTCATTCATCAACCCTTCTCCTCCAATAACATATCTGAGATCTCCATGATAGTAGTGTGTATTATTCAGACATGGTGTGATCATTTTCAAAACTTCCCCTGTCAGCAAAATAGTGCTTACTTTGATTATTGAATCAATATCATTACACAGCAAAGAGTTTAACCTAGAAGTATTCAGAATCTTTGTTGAGCTTCATAATTTTGAACGAAGATTGTTGGTAGACGCCCTGAGGTGAGTCAGCTTGACAACTACAGTGTTTTACTTACTTCTGCTCAGAAATTTGAGGTGATCAGGAGCATAGTTTGCATAGCAGATGGTTTTGAGGGTGATTGACAAAAGTGAAGGCAGCAGAGCCATGTTAATGGATGGCAGAACTTAAAAAAGAAACACACCTTGATTCAGAAAATAGAAACCTAGCAACCAATCTGTCTCAGCAGACTCATCAAATATGTTAAATGCAAAACATCACTATCAGTGAGAGCTTCTGTTTTGTTTTGAGGCCTTCAGTGGTCTCACAAAAATATCAAGCTGTAGTCTTTTGAAATGGATTTTATGCCATAAAGTTTGGTATAACTGTAGTAACCATATATGCACAGAAGTACAACTGAGACAAATGTGTAACTCACACAATTAGGGTCTACAAAATTGTTGGCAATGCTTTGTGTTGGCTACTTATTTAATACAATATCTTCTGTTAACATCTTCATCATCAACCAGTGGTTGTTTTTATCCCTGTAGAGAATTCCTGTGGAGCTTCCGTCTACCTGGTGAAGCCCAGAAGATTGACAGAATGATGGAAGCATTTGCTAAGAGATATTGTGATCAGAACCCAGAAATGTTTACATCAACTGGTGAGTTGAATACAAAAGATAAGCTAAGTTATAATCATTGCATCTAAAAAAAAACATTCGGTTTCAATCTACAGATACTTGCTATGTTTTGAGCTTCTCAATCATCTTATTGAACACCAGTCTTCACAACCCAAGTGTCAAGGATAAGGTTAGTGTAATAAAAACAATTCATTCAATTCAATTCAATTCTAGCATGTGCTCAAGTTTTTACTCCAGAGTTTAGGGTCCTATACATCAGGCCATAACATTTCCAGAAAAGTATTATTGTTATTATCATCATCTATATTCTGACAACTATGAAGAAACAGTGTGATTAAAATTGTGCAGGTAACATCATTAATCAGCTTATTATGTTTTGTAGCCTACGTTGGAGAAATTTATTCAAATGAACAGAGGAATCAACTGTGGAGAAGATATACCTTCGGACACCCTAGCGGTTGGTGAATTATTTTAAATCCAGTAGAGATTTACATGTAAGAAATGCTAGTCTGTTCTCTCAGTACTTTTTATTGGAAAATTGTTAACATGTTGTTTAGATCAAAATAAAATATCCACTTCTTGAATAAACTTGAAGAGCAGACAGACAAAAAATTATATTCTCTGGGTACATGTCTGTGTATTTCTGTCCCTGTTGGAAGGGTCCATAGACTCTGGTCACTTAAATTTTGCCTTCAAACCTAATGTTTTTAGATTGAAGTGTGCTTTGAGTTCTGTCAAGTACATCAGTGAGAGTGTTTACATAGGACAAGACAACTGTCATGCCCAAGTGGTTCTCATTTGAGAAAAAGTTATTCAAATAATCAATAGTGTATATTGGAAAATTACCACACTGTGATTAGCCTTGAAAGGGTGGGAGGGGGGGGGAGAAGGGGAGTTGTTTTGTACTAGGTACTAAATGTATAGAGCTGCCTGTGTATAGTTACATTTGTTACTTTCTTTTGCTCTAATTCTAGAGTTTATATGAGAGCATAAAAAATGAACAGTTCAAGATCCCAGAAGATGATGGAAATGATATAACAAGAACATTTTTCAATCCTGATAGGGAAGGCTGGCTTATAAAGGAAGGTAATGACTTCTGTGTTTTTATGAGTTTTTTTTTTTTTTTTTTACTGAACCACAAAATTTGCAAAATCTCACAAACATATTTTCATATTTGTCAAGGTGGATTGCACAAAAGTTGGAGGAAACGGTACTTCATCCTTAAAGATAATTGCCTCTATTATTTCAAGAATATAGGGGTAAGTTTTCTGTCTACCTCCCAAAACATTACTTTGGTGTACAATAACCCTTTCAATTAACTATCAGAAATGATTGATAATTGTGTAAATTCTTCTTGCAATATTGGTACATTATGCAGCAAACATGTGGATAGAAAAGACAAAGTCACCAACTAGGTGTTACCTTGACAAAACACTAAATTCTCCTTACTTATTCAGAAGAAAATGCATGTTAGGTGGAAAGGAGATGCAACAAGTGCACTCCAGTACTTTGCTATTTTTCAGTGATTAGGGCATTCAAGTATTAAGAGTGGGTCCTGTTTTGTTAGTGAATTGGAAGTTATCATTTTCCAGTGGTGTTGTTAAGGCTTGGAAAAATTGCAATGTTTTTATAGGACAGGGAACCACGTGGCATTATTCCTTTGGAAAATTTACAAGTTAGAGAAGTGCAAGATGCACGGAGAAAGGTAACTTTTAATAATAACATGAACTTGTGGAAAGTAGTAAGGCTTGTTTTAGTTGTAGATTGATACAGAATTGACGTAAGAGGACTTGCCTTACATAGTTTTTTTTTGTTTTTCTTTCAGTATTGCTTCGAAATATATTCAGCTGATAATTCCTCAGGGCTTATAAAAGCTTGTAAAACAGACTCCGAAGGAAAAGTTGTAGAAGGTCAGAAGGTTTCCATTAATGAAAAAAAATTGACTCCAATTGAACAAAAGCTGAGAGTGTACGAAAGTAAAAGGACAAAAGAAGGGTTAATCGTAATGTC